TAGTCTGGTGCGCATTGCTATTTATTGCTACTTATCGCCGTTCGTTTCCAATCATTGCTGTTATGACTGCCACGTAAAATACCCGCGAACTAACGGCTTTAGAATCCCAATATTTATTACGAGTGTATTTTATTTTGTACACCGTTATGGCTGCTTTGCCGACTTGTTTTCCAGCATTTTACGTTCCGTGCATTTTTATGGGCTTTTGCATTTTCATGCAAACACGGAAACTCATATTGTCATGTGTGCGTGTGTGTGTGTGTGTGTGTGTGTGTGTGTGTGTGTGTTCGGAAATGAGCGAATTTTGTCACCCACCAACTCAGTAACCGAGAAAGCTTGGGAAGCTGAAATTATAGGAGCGTATTTGCACCACACGTGCTTTCCTTCTATCTTGTAATAAGATAAAATAATAAGGTAAATGAAATGTTTTTATGTTGGAAGAACTAATAAAATGTTGAAATTATTTTTACAATGGTAAGAAATGTTTCGGTCCTTGAAAGCAGCGTCCACGCACGTTCAGGCCTCGCGTACAGGCGCTTAAAAAAAAAAAAACCATGTAAATTTTTTTAGTTAGAAATCATTTCGGCAACTGACAAACGTAGAAGGCTGAAACTTTGCAGGGGCACTTTCTATCCATGTGTGAGCTAAAGAATTCAAATGCAGCCATCGCGTCACGTGTATGAGCGTGTCATCGTGCACAGTTAGCGCCTTATCAGAAACAGTAGCTGCAACTTTTACGATAATTGTGATTTTGTTAGAATGTTTATCGTCCATGTGGGTTATTGTTTGTTGCATTGTTAATGCGTATCTTTTTTTTTTTTGTGCTTTCACAAACGCGCTGTTCAGTTGATGCTTTCTCGTGCCGGCCTATAGTCTGGCTGGCTGTTGTACAGTGCAAGGATTGACTTTTCACCTCGTTTCTTATAAATTCGTTATCATCAAAATCGAGTTTTAGCACCATCTCTAGCAGTGGCACAACAATAATGTGAAACGATTAGTAGTAGCGGTGGTCGGTGATAGTTATAATGTTGCCAGCTATCGGTAAAAATTGCACCTGAGTGCT